GACTGAACCCATCCCACTAAAGTGTACTCTCAATGGCAGGGTTCAACTGAACCAGCTGCTACAGAATGGGACTCACCCTGAATGGTTAACTGCGCACAATCCTGATCCAGAAGGCATAAATAGTAGAGGTGGTCTACTACTTGTAGACCACACAGTTGCCCGAGACTGCAAAACCCGACACACCAACCTGTGCACCGCTTGGATTGATTACAAGAAAGCCTATGACTCAATGCCACACACCTGGATCATTGAATGCTTAGAGATGTACAACATCAATAGGACTCTAAGAGCCTTCATTGCAAACTCGATGGGGCTGTGGAAAACCACCCTTGAAGCCAACCGCAAACCACTTGCACACCCATGGAGGGTGAGAGGGGAATTTTATATATATTCTTTAGATATTGAAAATTCTGTATTTGTTATATTCTAAAACTATTTGTTGTTGCTCACAGCTGTGATTTTCCTAAAACAAAGAGCGATAACTTACATTGTTCCGATGGAAGTGACAATTGCTTTGCCATTGTTTTGAATTTACATTGAGAAGCATTTGAGCATGCGCGAATCTCTGGCCAGCGACTGTTTCCTCTCATCTCACGGCGTATACCATTTCCAGAAAGAGCTTTTTGTTTTTCGGGTTCTCCAGAGGTCAGTGGTCTGCTTAAAACATTACACTCAAACGAAAAGGCAAAACAGAATTATTCAAAATTTGGGCGAACATATAAATCTTGTCAGTTCAGCAATACACGCCTGAATAAAAATTGTTTCTCCTGAAATACACCCCCGCCAGCTGTGGAGGATTCCAAAAATGGCAGCAGTTCCTGTCAGAGCAGAGTGGAACTTTCCTATTTTTCTTCCAATTTTGCCAACTATCGGTTAAATTTTCCCCACTGCGTTAATATTTTTGATTCAACTAATCATTAGCAGGACTATAGGGAGTTTGGCCAGCCATCAGTTGCTGGGTGACTTGGTCCCGGGGCTTCGTGTTTGGTCGGCAGATCACCGGGCTTCCCTCGAAGTTGACGCCGCTCTTCTTTTCACAGGCTCCCCCTAACAACAGCTCACTGAACGCGGAACTTTCAGCTGAGACTGGACATCCGCGGTAGCTAGCTAGTTAGCTTGCCGGCCGAAGAGCGCCGAAAATAAACCAGCGTCGTCTCGTTTTTTTCCCTTCATTCAGCTGATACCCGCTCGGAGATCCAGGAGACGTGTCGCGTCACTTGTCAGGGGAAATAAATATCTGGTGTTAGATGTCAGCACCAGTCAGAGACGCACTGACTTTCTTCTGCTGTTATAATGTAAGTGCCTGTTTATTTACACCTTTTCTTTTACTGTTCTTCTGAAAATCTGTTTTTATTTACCGTGGCCTTGGACCACTTGTGTACTGTACATACGGTTCTGAGTTATATTTCTCAGCCGCCAGCTGGCCAGCTATTTATAGAATGTCGCTATTTAGGTGTTCCCCTTTTACTCATATTTACTAAATAAGTGGCCAAATCATTTATAATGCGTGTTTATTACGAAATGCATCTATTAAGTAGCTAGTGTGTTTCATTTTTGTCAATAAAACTGTAAAAAAAAAAAGGCAGTTATAATTGACTATATTAATTGACATTAATTTCAGATGGGAGGCCTCCAAGTGTTCACTTTCTGTTTCCAAGCAGTGGTTTAACCTCGTTTTACTTCCTGTATGCTCTCTGACGGACAGCTATCCTAGCCAATCACATGGAGAAGCTCCAGGATTTGGGCCAATCAGAGCTGCAGGAGCTCCTGGACAATCCAGATAGGGTGGAGTCTATGGCTCAGGAGTCTGACGAGGTAAGAAAAAAAAGGAAGCGTTACTTTACCTTTAGCTCATGTTTTGAAATAGCTCAGGGGCGAGTTATAGGTTTATTATAATTCAGGAACATTAAAGGTAAAATTGTCAGACTTAGTTGTGTTGATTTGTTGACTTTTATGGATAGATATAATCAGAGGTGGGTAGAGTACCCAAAATTGTATGCTAGTAAAAGAAGCACTACTTCAGAATATTTTTACCCAAATAAAAGTAAAGAGTAGCCATCCAAGAAATTACCTGAGTAAAATAGTATTTGGTAAAAAAAAATCTGCTCAAGTACTGAGTAGTTGATCAAATTATCAATCAGTTAATATTTAAAAATTACATCATCAGGTGGACGGAAATATAAAATTAAGTGGAAATTTTAGTATTTCAAGGACTTCTTAGGGAGGAATTAAGAAGCTTGATCACTAAATTCATCTAACTGCACTCGGATTCTGGACCCAAATAAAGTTTCATCAGATTCTTTTAGATTTTCACAGAAAGCTTTCTTGGACATTTTAACATTTTAGGTTTACAGAGCTCACACTGTGTCAGACATGCAAACATTTATTTATGTTTCTTATTTCTTTGGATTTTTGAGAGTTTGAGTTTAGCTTTAAGTCCCATTTTTAATCAAAATTTCCTAGATTGTTCTGGAGGGGTTATTTTTATTTTTACAGTCACTTACTGTTGAGTAAGTTTTCCGAAAGACAGGGAGCAGCTCAGTTGGCAAAGACAGGAAAAAAACATCTCATTTTTTTAATGATGTTGGAATAACAACGCCCCTTTTCTCTATGACCGGGTGGAAATATTGACAGTGGCTGCACTTTTAGACTTTAGCAAATCATTGGCAGCTTTTATGTTTGAGTCATAAACCAGCTGTGTGTATGGAAACACTGTTAGGCAGACATGTAGTGCTTTGCATAACATTTAGTCACATTACAGTAACAAACATTAGTATATTTTATTTAGATTTTATGTGATAAACCAGTGCAAAGTATTACATAATGTGAAGCTTAAGGAAGATGATGTTTTGGAGAATTCTATACAAAAGCCGAGAACGGTTGAACAGATCTGCAGAATATGCAACATATTTGTCATTATCACAATACGCTTTAAGAACTGTAATAATTGTTAGCTAATTAGTTAAGTACCGTGGATAAAATAAATTTGGTGTTTGATGCAGCATAAACAAGTTTTAGAAGGTAAGGAGGAGGCTCCTTGCTCCTTTTTCCAAAACAACTTTTATTTTTTTGCAGTAGTTGGATACACTAATCATTATCTAGTGTCTATGCTATGAACTCTAAGCAGATTATTATTCATTCATTTTCTGTGAGCCATGTCGTTATTGCAACATTCATCAGTATTATTGCATGTTGTATTATCATTGTGCAGCTGTAGGGTAAAATGCAACCCTTTGTTTTGCTGCAGTTTCAGCTGAACCTCTTATCTAGTTCGTCTCCAGCAGCTCTAAACACCCAGAGACTCAAATTTTCTAATTCTCACTGTGGATGAGAGTCTATGTAAACATCCAGGTTCAAACCTCGCTGAAGTTTCAGCTTTCTATCTAGATCTTGACTTTGACTAGGTCATTCTAACACACAAATATGCTATAATTTAAAGCATGGGTGTCAAACTCGAGGCCCGCAGGCCAAATCTGGCCCGCCACAGCTATTTCTGTGGGCCTCTAAGTCTCAGAAATTGAACTGCAAGGTAACAGTTGTGGTTAAATATAATTTTAACATTTAAATCAAATCAGTTTTTATTTGTATTGAGCCAAATTACATCAATGTGAAAAGATGTTCAATATTATTTAATCTTAAGAAGTATCAGTATCAGGGTTGAGTCCCAGTCTCAACTTTTCCCTGTATTTAGGTCCTCCTTCCTCTTAATCAACCACTCAGTTTTCTGCTGAATAACGGCCTCCCCACATCATGATGCTCCCACTTCCGTATTTCACTGTAGAGGACAAAAAGTTCAGGATGACATGTTTTATTAGTTTTCCATCATATACATTTTCTGTTTTGGCTAAAAGGTAAAATTTTTGACATGTTGTGTTTCTTGGACTTGTATACTTAGGTTAAATTATACAAAAGTGAACTTTAAGACTGTTGTTGCACTGGATTTCAATTAGAGCTATCAGAAAAAAAAGTTCTACTTAAAAATCATGCACCATTTGTTTTGATATGTTGCTTTAGATCCCAAGAATGCACATTAAATTTTGAGGTTGTAAAAGTTTGATAAAGTGTTTGAAGGGTTGAAACCAACAGGAGTGAGCACGCTTTAATGTAAAACACATTGTGTGAGATATTATGAAGACTGTAGAACAAAAGAGGAAATATCACCGGTCGTCATAACAGTGCTGTGGTTATTGTCTACCTGTGTCTCAGCAGTTTGTCGCCATCTGTTGTGTTTTCTCACTTTTTAATCCTTTAACTAACTTTGACTTGAGTCTTTAACACTAGTGTATGTGCTACAATGCTTCAAACACAAAAAACCTATGTATTTTGTGTTTTTTCCCTTCTTCAGATTCAGAATATCCAGCTGGAGAGAGAGATGGCGCTGGCGGCCAACCGCAGCCTGGCAGAGCAAAACCTGGACATGAAACCTCGATTGGAGTCCCTGAAGGAGGCGCTGGTGGCGAGATACTCTCAGCTGGAGGCCGTCAGAGAAACCTACAGGCAGCACTGCTCCCAGAGAGGTGGGGCGGCAGGAAACACTGACGTGGAAAATTAGAGCCACAATGAGATTTAAATAAATGCTGTCAGCTCACCATTGTCTTCTAGTCCTTTATATTGTGCTATTTTTAGACATGTGGATGAACTATTTTTAGTTTTTTATAGTCAAAGTCTATATTGCCTCAGGTAAAGGTGCCTTATGTAACTTTTATACAACATTTTTTCCTTACATATTTGTTAAAAGTGTCACCATGTCATGACTGTATAATATCAGACTGATAATCTGTAAAGCTAAATCTCCTTCATTTCCTCCCTGAGCTAGCGTTGCCGTCTGAAGAAATGCACCACTCCCGACCAAAAACAACCAATCAGAGCCAAGAAGAGCATCTTAGCGCTGTCAATCATTCTCATGTTCTCACTGCTAAATTTCCTAATGGTGGAGAAACAGCTTACAGCTGCAGGATAACCATTTATCTGCTGTCATCAGCTGCTGTGTCAACTAGCCTTAGCATTCACGTCAGGCTCTGCTAGCTGCAGCATTGACAGTGCCAAGGCCCGCCTCCCTGCTCTGATTGGTTGTTTCTAGAGAGCACTGGGAGAAGGCACAGGAGCTCAATTTTGTATTTATTTATTTATTTATTTATTTATTTTACAGATTATCTCTCATACTGTCACAATATAAATTCTAAAAAAAATATATTCTTTTAATAAAAGTTGTGTACGGTAGCTTTAAGAAGTGATCAGTCCAGTTTAAGTATTTTTTTTTAATTGGCTTGAATGAATTTACTTTACTCTGCTCCCTGGTTTTCCCATTGGAAATTTTTTTAAAAGTCATGAAGTAGGTCATTTGCTGCACGTCTCATTATTCTGAGCAGATTGTTATCCAGATGAACACAACCAGTTTTTCACGTTCTCTGCTGTTCTGTAAACGAGCTAGGTACGTTTTTTTTATTTTATCTTAAGGTATTGTTTCTTATCTGTCCACACAGATGGGATGGTGGGTCAGGTCTCTCCAGAGGCGTTCTTCTCAAGACTACAAACGGAAAGTGAAAAAACAGAGTCTGAGTCAGAGGTTAGTGTTCAGCCGCCCAACACATCAATCAATCAACCAATCAATCAGGTTTACCTGTAGAGCACATTTCAGCAGCAAGGCAGTTCAAAGTGCCTTACATAGTAAAAACACAAAGTTGTTGATTAATGTTTCACTTCCAATTTTTCAAAAGTAACTCTAAACAGGTGAGTTTTTACTCGCATGTCTAATTAAAATGTAAAATACAGGGCATTATAGATGTATTTTATACAATATTTTCCACATATTGCTCTGTTAAAAATAGAAATTAGATTTTATGTAATAGACTATGATCTGGTCGATATGACTTAAAATATAATCAGATTTTTTTCATACCAGATCTGACTTTATTCAAACTGTTTTTAAACTTTATTCTGCTAATACTATGATTACGTTCTTGTAATTAAAACAAAATTGGTGGCTTCAACTAACTCACTCACTCACTCACTCACTCACTCACACACTCACTCACTCTTCGGTTACCTAGCAACTCACTCATTCTTTGGTTACCTAGCAACAACCTGTGGAGTAATTGACGCAGCAGCAGTTTTAAGGTTTTCTCACAGTGCCTCTTAACAGTTTAAAAAGAAAAAAACAAAGTTGTGGAGTAAGAGTTGAAAATGATAACAGTTCAAAGTTCAGTTTGGCAGTATTTCAGATATTTAAAACAAAAAACTAATCAATAATTATCAATATTAACTGGTATAAAATGCTTATTTTGCCATTCAGGTCTTATCTGGCCCTGATGCTGCGTCATACAACTCATAGAAGTTGAATTAATTAGAACCCATAGACTGAATTAAAAGCCTCTTTTTGAAAACATTTCATGTCATTTGTAATATATTTTTTAGAAATAAAAACAAGGGAGCTGGCGCGGGGGGATTTAAGATTGGAAATCTTTTTTGTTGTTGTTTTTCTCTTATTTTTATCTACAGTTGGGTTTTTAGGGCTAATTTGCTGTTGTAATGTTGTTTTGGGAAACAAAATACACAATTCAGAGCAAACTGAAATCAGATCTGGTATGAAAATAATTTTAGATTTTATTTGTAAGCCACGCCGCTCAGCCCTGTGTGTTTCTCCTGTTGGCGGTAGATGATGCGTGTTTCACCGTGTGTGTGTCCAGGCTCTGGCCGATGACTTCCTGGAAGGCTCTCTGTCCTTGGACTCCTTCTTCGAGCGTTTCCTCCTCCTGCGCTCGCTCGCTCACAAAAGACGCGTGCAGATAGAGAAACTCCAAGAAATCCTGCGACAGAGGGACAAGAGCAACCCGACCGCCATGACATCATCAGCCGGCGTTGCCCCAAACCCCGTCGCCACGGCAGCCTCATGGAACCTACCGACGACAACGGTGACGACGACAAATCTGCCGCAGCCGAACTCCAACCCGCCGTCCTCCAGCTACCAAAACTCCTCTCAGTCGGCCTCGTCTTCTGCAGTTGGAGCCTCTGGGCTTCCGTACAGCCCGTACCCCGTTTCCCCTCCCAACCCGCCTGCTGTAGTGGCAGCGGCGGGGCCGATCCCAAACAATCCGCCGCCACAGTTCACTCCATACCCGAGCTCTGGCTCGTCTTTCACCCCGGCCGCGGGCTACTCCGGGCCCAGACCAGCATTCGGGCCGCCTTCCTCTGTCACCTGCCCGTATCCGACCCAGCACCCATTTCCTGCCCCGCACCCCGGCTCTGCGTTCGGTCAGTACACCCCCAGCCACCCCCCCGCCGGCGGCCCGGCGCCGTACCCGGCCTCCTACAGCTACGGCGGCTACAGCTACCCGGCCGCGCCGGCGTATTCCAGTTCTCAGTCTCCAACGGGGAAGCCCATGTACAGAGCCGGGTACGGCGTTCCCCAGCCGTACTCCTGAAAGCGCTGCTGCTGATCGGCCTCACACCGCAGAAACACTGAACCTCTCCAAGTATTTCTGATGTAGTTTCTACTGCAAATATCTTAATACGCTTAAAATAAGACAAAGCTAACTTACAAATAACTTCCCAGTAAACATGCTGTAAGTAACGTACTTACAGCATGTTGCTTTAAGTATGCCTTTATTGATTTAAAGACGTTTCACTTATTGTTTCACTTATAAGTGAAACAATCTGCCAGAAAACTGCACCGATTGCAGTTTTCTGGCAGATCATCAGTCCTGACCTGCCAATTCACAATTTGGCTAATACCATTTTTTTTGTCTGAAATGTTGTTAAACCCCTCTAAAGGCAGAGCAGAAGAGGATAGAGGCTGATTTTTAGACCTTTACTGAGGTAGATAAGATCGGCTTCACATGCGTGCGTCAGCCCAGAATTAAGGAAATCAGGGCCAGTTTACTGCACCCTTACTAGCCTTAGCATTCACAGCAGGCTATGCTAGCTGCAGTGTAGCAGACGGCAAATGAGGTGATTGACAGCACTACAACCCTCCTCCTTATTCTGATTGGTTGTTTCTAGACAGCATTTTTTTCACACTTTATCTGTCTTATACTGTCACTATATACTGACAGTTTCAACAAATACACAAAAAAAATAATTTTTATAAAAGTTGCATACCACAGCTTTAAAACAAGCTCCCATATCTTGATAAAAAGTTACTTGTAAATTAGTCTTGTCTTTTTTTCCTCAATATACTTGGACTAAAAACTAAACCAAAAACACTTGGTTAGATTATTTTGTGTGTTTTTGCAGTGCAGTTCCCAACACTTTCTTCCTTTCTCTCCCTCTTCTCTCTTGCTTTTTTTTCCCCTGCTTCTTCCTTCTTTCACACACAGTCTCACCCTCCAGAGGTCTCTTGCTTTACTTAACTTTGTTGCACTATTTCATTAAACCAGTCTGAAGTATCTGCCCCTCCCTTCCTCTGTCCCTCCCTCCCTTCACCACACTAGTCTCAGGTTGTTGCATTGCTTTGAGGTGTTCAAGCACTCGTTTGTGTCGTCTTTCTCCCTGTTGAAGTGATGTACTGTCCCCCCCGCCTCTCCGTCACTTTCATGGCAACGATGAGTCGTCGTAACACTACAAACAATGTAAACCAGCTGTCTGTCTGCTTCACACCCATATTTATTAGTAAACTGCTTGTGATCGGAGCGTCTTAGGAGGCTGAATACAGACGGAGTTGTGGCTAAAGCGAAGCATGGTTTCTTTATTAAGTCGTCTGGGTTTTGATGCAGCTTCGGCTCGTTCTGCCGTTTGATTGGCTCTCCCGGTGGCGGGTGAACGCCTTCATGCAAATAGCTTTTGTTCTGAGGAGCTTTCAGGAATCAGTCCCACTTTCTGTTCTTAGAAACCAAAGAAGCTTCATTTCGTTTGACCTGCAGGTTGACGACGTTCTTCATCTGCATGTTTAAAACTTTCCACGCCATTAATTTTGAGTTTTCAGCTGTTACTGTTTTTATGGGGGGGGAAAACTCTTAAATATATTAATGAAAGATGACGACAGTAAAATTTCCTGAGCAACTTTTTTCTTGTTTAGTTAGATGAGCACCGATTTCAGTTTCCTGGCCGATCACAGATCTTTAAGGGCGTTTGCCTCGTAGACTCGGTTTGATTGGGGATAAAATCGGTTTCATATCTAAGTATCTACTGATTGCTGATTTTCCAAAATCATGGAAATCTGCACCGATTTAACCTCTTTGAAAGAAAGGATTATTTTGTGTTTACGTCCCCCCAGGATTTGTCAACAGTTGGGAGACAATTGCTGTCTATTACAGTGTACTTTGTCCTATAGCGCCCCCCACTGGCCACACAGTTCACATTGTGAGGACTTGGATAAACCTGAAAGTAATTTTCCAATGGGGAGCATTTTCACAGGCGAGTTAATTGGTTTGTTGCTGGATTTAAAATAATCCAAGGTTTTAAAAATACCTCATAACTATAATCTGTATTTTTGCTTAAATCAAATATTGTTTTCAGTAATTGCAGCTCTATCATACTATACATTTTTAGATGCAATTCTTGTATAAATACAATGATAGCTACCCTTGGAAATCTCCTACCAGCTCATGACAATTAGACTGAATAAAATTTAGAAGGAATATTTTTATCAAAGCCCGACAACACAAGACACTGAATCCAACCACAGGCCATTTGTTAGCAAAATGTGAAGTTTCGTGAAGCCTGGTGGTGCACCGATTGCAAGTTTTTCAGCCGATCATGAATCTTTAAAAAGCCTGACCTGCCAATACCAATTTTTTATACTTTTTTTTTTTTATCTGAAAAGTTACTAAGTTTATTGGTGCACCCCCTTCCAAAACTACTTGTTTGTTCTTTTGGATATCTGGATGAAATTTTCTCTGCCAAGGATCTAGTTCTGAGTACTGTTTAACTTTGCACTGTGTTTCACCACTGTTCACATTCGATTCAGAACCGTTCTGCGAAGCTAATGTGTGAAAACGCCCCACATTCCCTCTGATCTGTTTGGATCCATCTTCAGGAATCACTAAACTATAACATTTCTGTTTGACCTCAGAACAAAACAAATTAGTACTCCTGAACCAAACGAGTGTTCTCAGTACTGATGATGTGGTTTTTACACGCCTCGGGGTTCTGGCATTTTGCACAAACTTCCTCCCTGAGTTTCAGTTTTAGATCCCCAATAAAACAATAGTGAACACCTTAACGCTGACTTTTGTCATGGATGAAGGAACAAAACTGATCTTAAAGAGATTAAACTGAACTTCTGACCAGACAAGGTGATCGAAACTTGCTTGTGATGGGAGTGATGTTGGTGGGTGATCAGGTACCGACTAATCAAAGGGAAAACGCTTCAACAGAACCACAGTGGGTTGGTTTTGTTATAAATACGTTCTGACTTTACTTTGGCCTTCATGTGTTGACTGGGCGTGGTTTAAACCATCCAGCATAGTGAATGTAAGGATCATGGTGTGGCGAAATGTTAACGGTCTACTTGGACCACATGTATCAAACTCAAGGTCCGGGGGCCACATCTGGCCCGCCGTAGCTTTCCATGTGGCCGTCTAGACACCAGGCACCATATTACATCAATAAGTCTCTCTGGTTTTTCATGAAAATTCACATAAACTTAACACATCCCCGCATTTTGAGTCAACAAAAAATGGTCAGAATCGTTTGGGTTTAAATGACCAACTCCTACCTGCAGGTGGCAGCATTTCTTCTTTTGACCACCTCAGCCTCACTTGATGTAGTCTGTGATCAATAAGACGAGAAACAAAAAGTTGCATATGTAAATGCAAATACTGTAAAGATCCTTTTCAGATATTTCTGATTTAGCACCACACAATCAGAAACTTTGATTGTAAAAGAATCAAAAATCAATCATAAAATACTGGAGGGACTGATCAGTAGCTGTGTTTCTGTTGACTGTGTAATTCAGCAGTTTGACATTTCAAAAATTAATTTGCTTAATGGAAGCACAGCAGTTTTGAAAAAACTCGTTTGGCGCTGGGATGACATGGTTTTCGGACATTTTGAAATTGATTTATTTATCAAAACTTCAATGGAAAAAGTTTTTTCGCATCACACGAGTCACATGATCAACAACGCCGGGTGCAAACCACGAAGAATAAAACGACAGGAAACAGTTGGAGGATATTAGTGTGGCATTTTTATTGACTTATTGTGTGAACAAACTTATTCACGTGACTTTAATTGCGTTTTTTTATTTAATGGAAACACCGCAATTGCGAAATTGTGTTTCTTCTAGTGGAAAATAGAAAAATCTTTGCGGACATTTGTAATGGAAACGCAGCTAATGTGAAAAGACGATAAATATTTAATTTTTAGAAGAACATTCATGATCTTGGTATTGCCCAAAATGAAAATGAGTTTGACACTCCTGCCTTAGACCATCAAAAGCACAAAAAGGCAGTGCTGAGAATTTCCAAGTTATTGACAAGTGATTTTGTAAGGTAGTCTTTGTAACGCTTCATTAAAAGCAAAATGGAAGCATTGTGCATCAAAGAGTGATCTGTCTTATACAACGGCGTACTAGAGCTACTATAGATGGAGGGGGGGGGGAGTACATTTTTACCAGAAAACTGAAATTTTCAGATTAATCTCAAAAATTTTCTAGAACAAAAAAACGTGGAAATTTGAGTTTGAACATTTCTAAACTTTGCTAATAGAAAAAAGTTCCTGGGATTAATCAGAAAAATTCCAAAAGTAAAAAATTTTCTGAAGATTAATCTGAAAATTTCAGAATTTATTTTCTAGGAAACATTTGATTTTTCAAACTCAATTTCTGTTTTCTTTGGAAATTTTTTTACTTCAAACTTAAAGTTTTTTCAGAAAAACATGGAAATTTTGAGATTAATCTCAGAAATTTTCCAGAAAAATGGGAAGATTAATCTAAAAATGTTATGACTTTTCATAGTCAGAAGATTTTTTGTTTGTTTGTTTGTTTGGTTTGTTTTTAATTTGTTAGATTGATCTCAAAATTTCCGGGATTTTTCTTTCTAGAAAACATTTGACGTGTCAAGCTCAGAAATATTTTTTTTTTCTGGAAATTTTCTGAGATTAATCTCTAAAATTTCTTAGATTTTACTCCTTGGTATTTTTCTATCTGCAGTGGCCCTCATAAACCGTCGTAATCATGTAATCAGAGTTAATTTTTTAGTCATAATATTTCACGGAACCTGGGATGATTCCAGAAGAGCCTGCGGCACTCCAACGCCAACATACGCTCGTCTATTGATGTGACGTAAGCAGGAAAAATCTCACGTGGAACAATCAGTCTTAAAACACGTCTTATCTGGCAACCATGAGGTGGTGAACGCTCCCACCGCATGGTGGCGCCACTGCGCCGGCGCGGCAGTGTTTCCATCTGGATCACGTGCTTTAGTTGAGTCTTTCTCGCCACACGCGGAGCCTTGTTGTTTTCTGTGGGCTTTGAGTGAACTCATCAATGTTTCTTCTTCGCCTGCCGGGTGAAAAAACCCCAGAATGGTTTCATATCCTCCTGATGAAGAGCGATCACACCGAGGACTTATACCGGCCCGCCGGGCTCTGACGGTAAAAGTGATTACAGTGTTTTAGAAGAAGCACAAGAAAAAAAAAATATATTAGCTTGGTTGAGGATTTATATTATTCTGAGGGTAATGACATTCAGATGGACTGAAATCATCTTCTGATAATAAAAAAATATGTAGATTGTTTAAAATCTTATCTCTTTTTGTTGTGAATAATTAAACATTCATTTGAACTAATCTAAGCTTGTTGAGTTGTCTTTTTATTCTGCGATTATTTCATTAAAGTTAAAAAAAGAGTAGCAAAACGTGTTTTAGGGCTTCAGCTAATGATTATTTTATTAATTCATTATGTTGATAATTAGTCGAGTAATTGGGTATCAGAAATCGCACATTCTGCCGATTTTTCTTTTTTCAGTTTTGACATTTCAAACTCAAATTTCGTTTTTCTTCTGGAAAATTTCTGTGAATTTAAAATTTCTGATTTTATTTTTCGAGAAAATCTTTGTTTTCTTCCCCGTTTTTTTTGTTTTTGTTTTTTTGCGAAATTTCTGAGTAATTTCTTAAAATGTAACTTCTTTTTTAGAAATTATTCAACTTTTCAAACTCAAAAATATCTAAAAGAAATTCCTAGAACATGTCTGAGATTAATCCAAAAACAAGCTTTTTTTTCAATCAAATTTTTGACTTTTTAATTTCAGAAGTTTTCTTGTTTTTTCTAGAAAATTTCTGAGATTAATCTTATCCTTGCTTTATACAATATTAGGTAGATTTTATTGCTGACTCGAAGACCAAATCACATAAAATAAGAACCAATAAGAATACATAAAAAAGACTCCGAACCATTAAAACATTTAAAGATTTTTAATAATGTATATAACAAATCCTTTTTCTAAATTAGAAAATTAGAATTTTATTGCATAAAGTACAACATATAGTATTCATTTAGTGTGTGCAGAGGACACATCTACAGCTGAATAAATACTTAAAGCTCTTTCTGCTCCACTTAACATCAATACAGTGCAGGACTGATAGCAAAAGTAGCTTAGTGGGAGAATTTTTCACAATTTGACCCAGATGAAGCTGAAACTACGACGCCTGAGGAGTTCTGTGTAGAACATATCTGCAGGTTTTGTATGAACAAGACGTCTCACTTTGAAATAAACTGTAGGTGGGGAAGTTTTCTTTAAAACATGTTTCTTTCATTCAGAGTAACTAGTTTTACTCAAGTCAGAGTAGCGATACTTCACAACAATGTTCACGAAGTAAAAGTAAAAGGTACTCCTAAAAGTACTTTTCCCTCCCTAAAAGTTACCTTAGTAAATGTGACTGAGTAAATGTCACTATCTACCTCAGGTTTCCTGAAGAACTTGTCCTGGTCTCGGACAAAACCAAAGTTCTTCACATTCGCATTAAAACGCACAACAGATTTAGGATTATGTTTAGGCTTTAGGAGACTGATTGATTGATTGGTTTCTTAAGAAAACAGTCAATCAATCCATCATGTTTATTACATTTTGTACACTGCCATCGTTAAAAACATCAATGCAAGTCAATTATATTGATCAATGTTTCATTGATTATGGTTCAGAAGTAACTCCAAACAGCTGGGTTTTTAGTCTAGATCTAAAGGAACTCAGTGTTTCAGCAGTTTTACAGTTTTCTGGAAGTTTGTTTCAGATTTGTGTTGCATAGAAGCTGAATGTTGTTTCTCCATGTTTGGTTCTGGTTCTGGATGCAGAGCAGAACCAGAACCAGAAGACCTATAATGTATTTTGATGCTAAGCTGTTGAGAGATTTATAAACTAACAACAGTATTTTAAAGTCTAAAAATACTCCTAAAAGTGTTTTTTTTTTCTAAAAAGTTACTCCAGTAACTGTAACAGAGTAAATCTAACTAGTTACCGTATTTTCCGCACTATAAGGCGCACCTAAAAACCTTCAATTTCCTCCAAAGCCGACAGTGTGCCTTATAATCCGGTGCGCCTTATATATGGACCAATGTTGAGCCACAACAGGTCTCGCAACTACGGTAAGCAGCCGCCGACTTCATTTTCGCCCGTAGAAGAAGAAGCACGCGGTGCATGCTGGGATAGTTGTCAGAACACTGGTTTGTTAATAAAGTTTGACTGACCTACAGACCTGATAATCAGGTCGTCTGCAGGTCATTTAGCACCACGTTCTCCACCAACATGCTGTGCGCGAACGGAGAAGGGTGACCATCGTCCGACCACACAACGGCCCAGTCGGGGAAAGCTCTCCTCGCCGACTGAAGTCGGACTGTTTTGTTGATATTCCCTTTAGTGCAGCTCCATCTAGTGGATGCATAACGTAACTCCAGCCTCTACTGTAGCGTCTACTCTATGCGCCTTATAATGCGGTGCGCCTTATATATGAAAAAGTTTTAAACTAGGCCATTCATTGAAGGTGCGCCTTATAATCCGGTGGACCTTATAGTGCGGAAAATACGGTACTCTCCATATCTGTGTATGACGCAATGTATGATACATTGGTCCTTTAATCCTGGAAATGTCCTTCAGTTGATAGAAGGGCGACTTTGTAACCGTCTTTATGTGGCTCTGAAGGTCCAGGTCCATCACTACATCCAGATTTCAGGCCTGATCATGAGTTTCTACACTGCAAAAAAGGAGAATGAAGCCTCAATTTAAAAAAATAAAAAATAAAAAATAGTAAATGTGCTACATGTAGTCAAATTAAGTTTGTCAAACTTACTTTATTTACGTTTGCTTAACATGACAACTTAATAAAATTAATACACAGCTCTTGAGAAAACGAAGAGCCTACTGCTCTGAACCCCTTAGAAAACCTCCTGGCTACGCCACCAAATATTGATCCTGAGTTAAAACATTAGTATTGTTGTTTCTAAATGAATATGAACTTGTTTTCTTTGCATTATTTGAAATCTGAAAGCATTGCATCTTTTCTGATATTTTCACTAAATTTTAGATTTTTGCTTGGAATTTCAGGGAGATGTCAGTAGTTCATAGAATAAAAGAACAATCGTCATTTTACGGAAACATATACTTATAAAGAGTAAAATCAGAGAAACTGATCATTTTAAGTGGGCTCTTAATTTTTTCCAGAGCTGTATTTACTTGAATAAACATCCTTTGATTACTTGTAACAATTTTATTTTTCTTTTTACAGTCTAGCTGAAGCTGACTCCAGATCGTTCCTCTTTAGGCCCAGAGATAATAACATTTTGGATCCGTTGTGTAACGGTTGAATTACAGCTAAACCATGTGCATGTGGGCGTGTATATTCATAAAATCGAACTTTAACATAAAGACATAAAATTATTTAGCTTTATCATTGTTCACTACCGCTGTGATATTTTTAGTAAATCTGTGTTTCTCTACACCTTCTGGCACACCAACATGCTGAAAGTACTTAGATTAAAGTAACATTTGTCTTCTCTGCCTTCTCCTATCTCTTCCTGCTTCCTACTCGTTCTTCGTTGTTTCTTACTTTCCCCACCCCTTTTTCACCCAATTTGCTTTGAAGAGAGGAAATCTGCTCTTCTGCAAAAGCTGCAGCCGCCATCTGTGGATGAAGTTCTTCACTGTATGGAGAAGGTGGCGGTGGGGGAGAGGAGGGTTTTTTGTTTTTTGCAACTCCGCATCATTTCCTTTCTCATCACTTCTGCTGTTGTTGGCGTGTCAACCTGAACTGAGCTGTTTGTTCTCCTACATTTATCTTATTCATCTACTTAATCTCTTCTATGATGGATCTGAGCACCGTTGTGATCATCGTGGCTTTTTCTCTTGTGTCTGCAGGTGAGTTGGTTTGTACAAAATGTTAAAACAAAATAGAGATACGATTATTAGAACAGTAAGCTTCAGCTTTATGCTTGACTGAAATGTTTTTAAGACGATGGCGAAGGTAAGTGGCAGAAATCTTCTTGTGTTTGTGGATGTTGGCTCAGTATATTTACACATACTTTCATTTATACAATCATGTGTTCTGTGTTAAAGAAAGCAGGATTTTAACGAGGGTTTTTCAATTTAAGTTTAAATTTATAGACGGCCTAAGTCTAGCTTTCATATTTTAGGTTTTTGCCCCTAACATTTTGAGTTCACAGCAGCAGGATTAGAGGAAATCATGACTCTATAGCTCAGTCAGGAAGGAACAGACTTAGGTTATTTAAACTGAAACTAATAGATATTGTAGGTCTAATTATGTATAGATCAATAACCTCTTTCTGTTGGTCTTGTTACAGCGCCAAATTTACTACAGGAACTTTGCACATGTTAAAACTCAACTCTCGTACTAATGTCACGTTTGCACCTCAAAGTACTTTGACTGCAACCTGCAAAACTGTGATAGCATCAAACTGAGAGAGAAACAGAAACGCCGGGAAAACTTAAAAACTGCAAAAGGGATTTAAAAAGTAATCTGATTAAAACAATTAGAACTGGATTCATTTTTTTATTTTTATGGACTCGTCTACTGAAAAACAACCAGTCCTGTAAAATATAACAAGACAAAAATGAACAGGAAACTATCTGAATAAGAGTCCAAACCCATAATCTAATGCACATTTTTAATCCACTTTCAACATTTAGTCTTCTTTCTTTCACATCTAACAGCAGAATTTATCATCCTAAAATAAACCACAACCATCCCAACCAGGTTTTACTCACATTTCACACAACAGACTAATCAAATTGATCTCATTTTCCAAAGGTATCAGTCAGGAGAAGAGCTGAAAGTCCACAGGATTACATATACCATGATATAGCGCAGACTGACATTAAGTATGTGAAGAGAATTTGGGGCAACATTGACATTAGAAAAACTAAATGTTTCTCCAAAATTAGTCAAAAGACGACAGAAAGTGGGGAGGGAGACTCCCAAAACAAAAACAGAAACCTTGAAAGAGCTGCAAAAAATTCTGGTTCTGGTTCTGTTTTATTTGCATATCTGAACTGGGTTAAAATGGTGAGCTTTCCCTTTCAAAGCAGAAAGTTTATGCAGGGATAAAATATTCTACAAGCTTGTTCAAGCTAATTTAATATAACATCATATTAGTAGGAACATGTGGTAGTGGCAGAGTCATGCTCTGGGGTTGATTCCTTTACATGCCACTGGGATTTTTTTGTTCAAGGTGGAAGCAGAATTTTGAGTAAATTTGACAAACCAGACAGATGTCTTTATCCACAGAGTCCAACGCTCCATCCTGCTGCATCCTTCGTGCACAAAGCAGCATTATTATATATCCTTCCTCTATAACGGTTTACATCCCAGCTGCTATTTTCATCATAACATCCCTGTTGTGCAGTGTTATTTTCTTATGTTGTATATTTGCCAATCCTGTACAGTTGGATATTGTTTACCTTAGTTTGATTATGTATGTCAAACTTTGATTTGCTGTTGTTCCATCTGAATTTCCCCGCTGTGATTAATAATTAAGGATATTTCTATTCTAGACCTCACACTGCTCCTTTATTGTGGAACATTTTCAACATTGATCTAAACAACAGGGAACAATTTGTTATCCTTTACACTCACACAACCGAGTTTTACTGACGGTTGTGTGAGAAAAGATTCCTGCAAAGCTTCTCTAACTTAATATTTTAAACTTTTGTTTTGTTTGTGTGTTTTTCATAGTGAATAGTCAGAACAACTCAACTACAATCAGCCCCAGTACTCCTAGAGTCTGCTCCTGTACAACTCCAGCTCCCCCTACTCCCAACCCCAACCCCGACATCAAAGTGGGCATCCTCAAAGTCAATTGGACAGAAGAATGCAAAGGGACTGTCAAGCTGTATTTTAGCTTCAACGACACTTCCCTGCCTGTCAGTTATAGGTCAGAAGAACAAGTCTCCAAGATTCTTAAAAATGTTTGTAAGGACAGAAAAGGCTGTGAAGATGAGTCAAAAAGATTCTATTCGGGTACCGAAGCGGACGAATGCTACACGATTCATGCTAACGGAACTAGCATAAAGTCCAAGTGCAAGACAATCATCAGAGTCAAGTGCAAAGGTTGGTGCCAACAACATTCTACACATTACAACCCGAGTTAGGCAGTTGCTTTACTCAGTTACATTCAGTAACTTTTTGGGGAAGAAAATATACTTTTAGGAGGAGGATGTTTACTACGCTGAACTTTTTTATTACGAAGCGTTGCTACTCTTACATGAGTAAAATTTCTGAACTCACTACCCACTGAATGCAAAACATACAAAAAGTCACCAGACAGACACACCTGAAGTTTTTAAGTTTTTTATTGTTATTGTTGTTGTTTCAAGAAACTATTTGGAAAAATGTTTATTTTCCTTAATTTTGTTATTTTGTAATTATTTAAATTTTGGTCCTTAAAATACATAAACATAACTTTATATTTTGGTCCATTTGATGATGTTATTTTTTAGATATTAAATAAATGATAGTTTGATCAGTTACTCAGTATTTAGCAGACTTTTCAACAAATACTTTTTTTACTCTTTAAGTAGTTTCTTGGATGGCTACTTTCTACTTTTAGTTGAGTAAAAATATGAAGTACTACTCTTACTACAGTACAATTTTTGGGTACTCTACCCACCTCTGATTATATCTGTTTTTAAGAAAATTGATTCAGTGCACTCTAAAACTTCCTTCGCTCCCATTTTGTCTGACTTATGTTAGGAATCTTGGTGTTATCTTTCATAGCTGTTTAAAATTACTGAAGTTGTTCAATTAGTTTTTGCCACCTGTTAAATCTTAATTTTGTTTTAAAGTTGCAGGATGTAACTTTTATAAAAAGTGGTTTTTGACATGCTTGTTAAAATAATTATTATGTTGCGACAATATAATATAAGACAGATAATCTGTGAAAAACCTCCCAGTACCAACTAGAGCAGTGTTTCCCAACCCTGGTCATCAAGGCAAACTGCCCTGCATGTTTTAGATGTTTCCCTGCTTCAACGCACCTCATTGAAATTATTGCAGTTCAGAAAAAGCTTGTTAATCAGCCATCATGTGTGTTGAAGCAGGGAAATACCTAAAACATGCAGGGCAGTGTGTCTTGAGGACCGGGGTTGAAAAACACTGAACTACAGAAATACACCACTCAGTCAGAAACAACCAGTCAGGGTCAGGAGGAGGGTCTTAGCGCTGTCAATCACTCTTACCTGCTGGTTCACTATGACAAAGCCTGCCACGAATACTAAGGCTAGTTAGTATAGCCACCAATGACAGTGGAAAATTGTTTTTCTGTAACAGTAAGTTGTTTCTCCACAGCTTACATTTAGCAGCGAGTACACAAGAATGATTGACAGCATTAAGACCCTTCCCTTGGCTCTGATCGGTTGTTTTTGGTCAGGAGCAGTGCATTTCTTCACTCCAATCTTTTCACAGATTATCTGTCTCATATTATACCATGAGAACATGATGAAAGTTTTAACAAAAATGGAAAAAACATATTTTTTAAAAATATGTTTATATGCTGCGTCTTTAAGGATTTTGAAGGAATTATTCATGCCTTTATTACATCGATATTGGATTATTGTACCTCATTATATAAAGGCATAAATAAATCCCTAATACGGCGTTTTGGCCTGTTTTGTACTTGCTGCCTGTTTTGTTTTGGATAGATTCTTTTAATGACTTGTAAAGACTTAAACGGATTGGTCCCTTCTTATCTTCAGGATCTTTTGAAACTACACTTTCATCCAGATTCACCCTGCTTTTAAAAGTGCTATATAAACAAGTAGAGTACCCAAGAATTGTACTGAAGTAAGAGTAGTAATACTTCAACATATTTTTATTAAAGTAAAATTAAAAAGTAGTCGTCCAAGAAATTACTCAAGTACAGAGTAACTGATCAAAATATCAGTCATTTAATATTTAAAAATTACTAGTCAGTTGGACCAAATAGACTTGTCACAATAAGTAATAAATCAATTAATCACATGATAAATTAAAACAAACTCAATAATTTCCATTTCCATGATTTATCATTTTTCTTCTTTTCTCTCTTTCTACTAAAACTGGATGACAAAAATCTTCATTCTGGCGTTTTTGGTCAGTTTTGTTTACAGACACTTCATAATTAATTTTATTTGTTCTTTCTGTTATTTTGTTAAGTAATTTTGCATATTTAAAATGCCTTCTATTTCAAATATTAAATATTTTTTAAAATTTAAAGTTTATTGATCCTTAATGATGTGTTCCTGTATTACGTCATTAACATTATCTTACTGGAAAATGGTCTCAAAACTACAATATTATTGTTTATTGCAATAACTTCTGGGACAATTTATCGTCCAGCAAAATTTGTTATTGTGACAGGCCTCAGACAAAAGTATAAAGTTAAGTGGAAATGTTGGTATTTTAAAAATGACAATAATTTAGATAAGTAACAAAAACAATAACAAAATCAGGAAAAAGAAAATTTTTCCAAATCAGTTTCTTTCAATAAAAAACTTATGAAAGTTCAACAGGAACTGCTGTGTGTGTGTGTGTGTGTGTGTGTGTGTGTGTGTGTGTGTGTGTGTGTGTGTGTGTGTGTGTGTGTGTCTGGTGAATTTTTGGTTAAATCATTTTTGTTTTTCATTCAGTGGGAAGAAAATCCAGAAATTTTAATCAAGTAAGAATAGAAATACTTTATAGTTCAATTACTCAACTAAAAATAGAAAGTACAACGTGGTAAAAATACTCTTAAAAGTAAATTTTTTCCAAAAAGTTACTCAAGTAAATGTAATTAGTTGCTACTCAACTAAATAAACTTGACATTAACACACTGGTGAATTTTTCATACAAGTCTGTCTAAATGACTTTATTTAAACCCCGCTGAAGGCATGTTGCTCATGATTGGTAAAGTTTGTTCCTTCCTTACTTTACATGATGTTGTCTTTAAGACTTTAGAGAATAATGTCTGTTTGTCTCCAGTTGAGGAGCTCCCAGATTTTGAGGGTCAGCTGGCGGCCTGTAAGGTGGTGATAGCTTTGCTCAGCATCGTCCTCCTGGTCCTTTTGTTAATGCGCTTCACCAAACCCACCGTCATGGCCCTGCAGAAGAGATGTGAGTACACGCACACACATTACTCATACTTCGAATCCTATTTAGCTAACCTTGTATTCAAAAAAGAGGAGTTGTGAAACATGCCGGTTCGCCGGCGAGATATGTGGGTTTAACGGCGCAAAATTATTGTTTTCAGTATCAGACAGGAGGCAACATCACTGGGTCGGGCCCACACAAAGTCACAGTGGTGAGTCACACACTTTTATTTTTACTGTTAACTGTTTGCTTAAAATTATCCCATAAAACATTTTTATCACCAACATATTGACACACTAGCACATGGTATATCTCTGTACCTTCATAATGTCTTTGCAAGTATTTTTAGTGAAAATATCTTGAATACATTTGAAATGAGACATAACTAACTTACAAGTAACTTTTCGGTACAATATAGGATCTTCTTTTAAGTCAATAATGCCTTAAAATTAGTGAAAATAATCCAGGAATGGAACAAGACATTTTAACTTATTTATGTTAAAGATTAAATAATCTATGAATGGAAAAAGCTATTTTCCCTGTATTATATCAATAACTATATATTTTTACAACAGGACATAAAATCATGCATGTAACACTCAAAGATTATCACATAATTGATAATTGAAACATGACTTTGCATCAAAAATTAAAATATGCCTAACAAGATAGAAAGTCAAGTTGGTGGTTAACATCAGTCCAGTAGCTTCAACCCCTATATATTAAGTAAAATACATTAAATATCCTTAAATAAACTACAGAGCAATGGCTCCCAATGAGCAGCTAAAACATACATTAATTATAATAACTGTTAAAACATACACAAAAAGTGGCAAAATTACACTTGAAACCCTATATATAATTATAAAAAATATATGTTCAAATATAGTACTTGTAAAGGAGACATAGCTCATATCCTAACACATGCGGACGGCATGTTAACGGACGGCAACAGAAAAAAGGGTCGTAACCCTCGGTTACTGGTTGCTACGGTAACCACCAACTGCCAAGAGAACTTAAACAGCAAAAAAAAAAAAACATGTATGGAGAAAATATATTTTTAACTATATAAAATGAATTTGAAGAATAAATTAACAAATTTTGACAAACTTCATATCCACAGGGTGGGCCATAGGTTTCCGTACACAGAAAAAAAAAAACATTCTGCATTGGACAGCCGTTTTTATTTTTGTGGGACTCTGTGTAATCGCTGCACGCCTTAGACCACTTTGTGGTTGATCTGCAACATTTCCAGTTTTCTGAAACTTGCAAATACGTTTTGCTATAGTGTCGTGTGTGATGTTTGTTCCATTTTTTCTGTTAAAGTTTCGTGCAACCATGCGGCTGCTTCCCGTTCCAGCCATCTGTATAATTTCAATTCTTTGCTCTTTTGTCAAACGCATCTTCTTGGATATCTGAAATATAAAAGAAATATACATTTTACCTATGTATGGAAACTTAGGGCCCACTGTGTGTAACAAAAAAACCCTGTTACGTTTAGTTTGCATTATTTTACCTAAAACTTCCTGAAGCAGCAGTTAAATTCTCCTATATGTTTAAAAATCTAGTTTATATAACTTAAGTGTCATGTTATAATCTGACATTTGACATTTTGATTTTAAACAGACAGAAATAATGTAGTATAATGTACATTTTAATAATTTTTACAAAACAGATTCACTTAAAAATACATACATTTAGTTGACTATATATTTATTTTTAAATAAATAGAGGGAAATAATTATATGTCATTCTAAGGGGTGGTCAGGTTGCCTATTTAAAAGTGTATATTACATTTTTGATTTGCCTTCTTCTGTTTCCTAACAGTTTCCTACCATCGAGGGAAAAGTGTCGCTAAGAACGAAGATGAAGAGAAAAGATTTTCAGGTAGCCTGATATTATATCACAAGGTGCCAGCAGAAAGTTTTCAGACCAAACATCATATTTTAGATTTTGTTCTGTTTGTCATTTTACTCTATAATCATTGTGGAAATATTTCTGCACATACAGAAAATATCTTGTTTTTTTTAATAGCTACAAATGGAGAACTTTGTTTTTACAAAATCTCTGGTTTGCTTTACTTCTTTTTCATTTACTCCAGTAAAAGTAGTGACATTTCATAAAATTCCTCAAGTAAAAGTAAAAAGTATATTGTAGTAAATCTCCTACAAAACCTTACTCAAGAAAATGTAACTGAATAAATGTAATTACTTACTACCCATCACTGAGGATAATAAGTAAATTTCTTATGAATGAAGCATCAAGAGTTTAGCTAATTTAAGCTTCATTTGTTCTTTCACCAATTTCTTGCCTATAATCAAAACCTATAATAAACTTTCTGTTGGCGCTTTGCTGTAAGTAAAATATTATCTCATCTGAAATTTGTTTGAATCCGCCTCCACTTTGTGCCTGAACAGCTCTGGAGCGTCTGACAGTCGGCGGCGGCAGCAGCCCGTCGTGTAACAGAAACTCCTACAACTACTAGCCTGCAGCAGGATCCTCCATCTTCATATCCACGAGTGTCTTTCTCTCCGTGTTGACGATCTGTGTTCAAATGTGAAGCTCCAGATTGTACCAGTGTGTAGAAAAAACTGCCTACGCTTGTCAAATGAATTACCATGATTTGCATCACACACAAACATCATTGTAACATTATAGTATGATTTTATTCTGTCTGTAAATTGGACCTGTTTGTCTTGTAAAGTACCTTGAGATGATATTTGTTGTGGTGTTACACTGTACTAATAAACTAATATGAATTTAATCTGCTTAGTTCGGCAGTTTCTAATTCTTAAAATTTGTCATATTTTTATCAAAGCAAAATGTTATATATGGAAATTGAAATGTTAACAATTAAATGTAATGTAACTGCAGTAATTCAACTAGGGATGCAACATTTATGGTAGATGTAAAAAGTTTGCACACAGTTGAAATGCCAGGTTTTCAGGTGTTAAGAAGGAGACTGATTTTTCCACAATTAATGAATCATGTGTCCTGTACAAGACAACTGAAAAACAGAAATCTTTGAAACATACTGAAATCATCTACTGTGACTACTTTAAAATTTTAAAAAGGAAATAAGAATTCAAGAGAAAATTTCTTTGTCTTCTTAAGCCCAATTTAAGTCCATTATTCTTTAATTATATATTTTTAAATATCTTTATTAGTTGGTTTTAAGAACTTATGTCAGTTTCACATTATTTCAACAACCAAAACGGATTTTTGTCTTTTAATGTAATGGCATGGTGGTAGCAACATGTATCCCTGAGAAGCTTGCTACAATTAGTGTGATTTTGATGGTTTTATTTTGAAATGTAGCCGGACGTTATCTAAGACAAGCGGAAGGAGAAATGGGCTCTTTGCACCTCAACTTCCGCGTTCGGGGTAAAGCGGCTCGATTGTTTC